ATAAAATATCCTATTGCCTCTATACAAATCCATGGTACGCCCACATCTGTGCAGATCTAGTCACCTCATCTCAAAAAAGATATATTGGAATTGGAAAAGGTACAGAAAATGGCAACAAAAATTATTAGGGATATGGAACAGCTTCCATAGGAGGAGAGATTAATAAAACTGGGACTTTTCAGCTTAGAAAAGAGATGACTAAGGGGGGATATGATAGAGGTCTATAAAATCATGGCTGGTGTGGAGAAAGTAAATAAGGAAGTGTTATTTACTCCTCATAATACAAGAACTAGGGGTCACCAAATGAAATTAATAGGCAGCAGGTTTAAAACAAACAAAAGGAAGTATTTCTTCACACAACGCACAGTCAACCTGTGGAACTCCATGAGCTTTATCATCTGTTCCTGCCCTTTTATTATCCCCCGTCTCCTTTCCTAGATATTCATTTCTAGTTTTTCATTTACTGTCACTCTCCATGCTCTGTGCTCGCTACAAGCCTGCTCAGACGATTGCAGCACGTCTTGAAATATGTCCTCCACCAGTGTGTAGGAGCTGGCCCTCAAGGGCACATCTGAAGAAGCAAAAGAAACAATACACAGAATCAGTATTGTGTGTGCACTCAGTCTCGAATCATAAAAGTTGCATACACCGCTTTCTCACTTTTCCTTGGCAAGCACGCAGCATGGCCAGAGCACTGAACATGGTGAGTTTGGCTGGGGGTGGGGTGGGGGGAAGAAGGTGCAAGATGGGACAAAGGGTCTGGGTGGTTTCAGAAGGGGATCAGTAACAAGCGCCTACAGACACTATTCTGAATACTGGCACTGTTTTCCACAGGTGAGGGGTGACTGAAGCTGAAATCACACTACTGAGGATAACCAAAGAGGCAAGGATGCATCTCCTGCATGTGGGCGGCTTCAGACAGGATCCATATGTTGCTCACCTGTGTGCTGCTTTGGTTCCTGCAGAAGTAGTTGCCGATTGGCCCAGCAAAGTTTCCTACCACAGGAGAAAAGACAAAGCAGCTCTGCCAAGGAACCTTTGGCAGAGTATTGCAGAAAAGTTTCTTAGAGGTCTTTATGGAGAATTCCCAGGAGATCTTGATGTGCATTAACAAACTTTTCTGCAAGGCCCCCACTGCATAGCTGCACAGGGGAATGCGAAGCAGTTGCAAACAGTACCTAGTGTTGCTAATTTCAATCCCTTCTCCCAAGTGCACCATGTAACAAAATAAAGGACACGTCTACCTCATGTAACCATGCAATATAAAAGCAAAATGAATACTTACTGGAGCTTCCCTCTTCTGCTTCAGGTGCACCAGAGCCAGACTGTCTAGACCCCTCCAGAATCAAAAAGAGGTTCTGGCTCACCACGCCACTGGACGAGCCTGTCCCAAACCCTCCTCCTCCTTCGTCCTCAGGGTTAACTACAGTGGCCGCTGCCTCCAGTCCCCCAGAAGTATCCAAGGGGCTCTGGATGGTGGCGGTGGGGTCGCCAGTGAGCATGGCATGCAACTCCTTGTAAAAGTGGCATGTTTTCAGTGCCACACCAGAGTGACAGTTGGCCTCTTTTGATTTCTGGTACACCTGCCTCAGCAACTTTATCTTAGCATGGCACTGCTGCGTGTCCCTTTCATGCCCCTTCTCATCCATGACAAGCATGAGCAATCTGCTCTTGGTGTCAAAGTTCCTATGGCTGGATCAGAGCTGCAACTGCACAGCCTCCTCTCCCAACAAATCCAGCAACTCCGCTGTACTCCAGGCAGGAGCACATAAAGGACACCTCTACCTCATGTATGGCTGACTCGCGAATACCCAAGGCTGAGTTTTATGGTCAGCTAAATCAAGGTACCCATTCTCATAGGGGCCATTGCAAACAGTATAGAGACACTGAAATCATAATTGAAAGCATGTCTGGTTGACCCTCGCAATTGGGAAGCAACACTCCATGACAGAGAAAGATGGTGGCAGATTTGCCATGTTGCTGTTAACAGCTTTGAAGCAAGGGGCATTAACATTTTATGTGAAAAACATGAACAGTGCAAAGCAAGGGTACAACAGCCTGCAGTGGTCATGGACAATCTTGTCTGTCCCACATGTAACTGTGCCTGCAGTTCTCCCATTGGTCTGACATCACAGATATGTGTTCACCTATAGCATTCACAGGCACCAACTTTTTTTTTCTCCGGTGGGTGCTCCATCCCTGCCCCAAAGTCCCCACCCTAACTCCGCCCTTCCCTGCCCTTATTGGACCCCTCCCCAAATCTCCACCCCAGACCCACCTCCTCCCCCAAGCGCGCCACATTCCCCCTCCTCCCCCCTCACCACACGAAACAGCAGTTTCGTGGCACAAGCGCTGGGAGAGAGGGGGGAGAAGCAGGACGCAGTGGTGCGGTCAGGGGAGGAGGTAGAGGTGAGCTGGAGCCGGGGGTGGGTGGGGGAGGAGCTGCCGGTGGGTGCAGAGCACCCATCAATTTTTCCCTGTGGGTTCTCCAGCCCCGGAGCACCCACAGAGTTGGTGCCTATGATAGCATTTGCTGAATCCTTGTACGTCCACACCAATGTGAGACTCCATCATCATTCTATGTAAGCAAATGTTTTAGTTGACACATGTAGTTGACTCCAAATAGGAGAGGAACATGTGCACAAGACAGCTTCTATTAAGATGTGATCTGCATACTGAAGAAGTTTGAAAGAACCCTGGTGCAAACTTTTAATATGTTTTCTGTTCCCATATGTAAATGCATTTTAAAACAAAACTTGGATATTGATTAGATTTACTGCTTTGTTGCCAAAGATGATTACAAGAGGGAAAAAATAAAGTTGCTCATGTGGATTCAGTTATAGCATGAATGTTTAATGCTATAATATTACTTTACTCATACTAACAGACAATCACATTGGGAGCAGTTTTGCGAACCTTCCAGATTAAGCATCAACATGGTTGAAGGGATTTCTTACATATTATAATATGAGCCAGTAGGTGGCACGAGAAAGCTGTTTCAGTCCTGCCCACAGTTTATCTCAGTGCATGACAGGATGAACCACCACCCTTCTAAACAAAATCTGATCTAGAAAGTTATGCACAAAGTCTATGAGCAGGGCCGGCTCTGGCTTTTTGGCCGCCCCAAGCGGCCAGAACAGCAAAGCAAAAAAAAAAAAAAAACCCTTAAGCAGCGCGGCCGGAGCGCAGGTGCAGGGGGACCGGCGGGAGGGAGAGAGAGAGAAGGGGGCCAGGGCTACAGCAGGGGCGCTGCCACGCGGCCCCTCCCGCTGCGGCGCCTCCTGCCTCCTGCCACCTGCCGTGAGGGCTCCGCTCCGGTCGGCGGGGAGGGAGGGAAGGAAGAGGACTGCCCTGCAGGGCGCTCTGGTTCTCCGCGCCGCCACCCCCTACAGGGCGGCTGGAGCGGAACAAAACAAAAAAAAAGCAGCCGTGCTGCCCTAGGATTAGGCGGAACGCCGCCTCGAACAATCTGCCGCCCCAAGCACCAGCTTGCTCAGCTGGTGCCTGGAGCCGGCCCTGTCTATGAGTTCCATGTAGTATTTGCCTGGAAGGATGGTGTGGTTCCTACAGCTTTTTTTTACATGAGTATGTAGTATTTGCTCAAGAAAAATCTGCCTTGATGAATGTTAAACAAATTCTGAAATGAGAGATGAAGTGTTTTGATCTGAATAGAAATCTAAAGTTAATTCTCTCACAAAAACATGCAGAACCAGAGCCAATTTTATCAGGAGCCCATTAAAAGGGCCTGCAGACTCAGAAGATTGGAAATGGGACACCAAGTTTTTAACATCTGGGTTGCCAATTGAAATCCAGCAAAGGTCATTAGTGACAGAAAGTTGTTACCCAAGGATGGCTACTTATCAGTCTGTGGGAAAGGAGATTGTGGGCTCAATTTGGTTCCTACTGGACAAGTTGCAACTTCATAATCAGCACTGAAGTGTCAGGCTATGCATAGAGTGGACCTAGATCAGGGTGGGCAAACTATGGCCAGCGGGCCGTATCCGGCCTGCCTGCCATTTTAATCTGGGCCCTCGAGCTCACACTGGGGAGCGGGTTCTGGGGCTTGCCCTGCGCCAGTGCTCCAGCCGGGGAGCAGGGTTGAGGGTTGCTTCACCTGGCTCCCGGAAGCAGTGGCATGTCCCCCCTCCAGCTCCTTCGCATAGGGGCAGCCAGGGGGCTCCGCTGCACATGCTGCCCCTGCCCCAAGTGCCACCAGCACAGCTTCAATTGGCCAGGAACCAATGCACAGCAGAGCTGCCTGGCCACGCCTCCACATAGGAGCTGGAGTGGGGACATGCCACTGCTTCCGGGAGTTGCTTGAGGTAAGCGCCGCCTGGAGCCTGTGCCCCTGAGCCACCCCAAACCCTTCATCCCCAGCTCCACCCCAGAGCCTGCACCCCCAGCTGGAGCCCTCACCGCCCCCCACCCCAGCCCGGAGCCCCCTCTCACACCATGAAGTCCTCATTTCTGGAGCCCGCACCCCCAGCCAGAGCCTGCACCCCCTCCCGCAACTCAACCCCAATTTCCTGAGCATTCATGGCCTGCGATACAATTTCTATACCCAGATATGGCCCTCGGGCCAAAAAGTGTGCCCACCCCGACCTAGATCCTAAACTATTCTCACTCCCCTAGAGGCTCCCAGATCAGGGACAGTGTGGGAATCCAGAAAGAACTTCAGTCTCTAAGGCTGACCAGCCAGCTCTTTACTTCAGCACTGAATCTGGCTGAAATATATAAAAAAAAACATTATTAATCCCATCACCCCAACACCTCACTTTAACAGCACAACATGTCAGGGTCACTGTGTAAACTAGAGGGCTGTACTCTGTTGCTTTTGTAGGCCAAGCACATTTCTTCTTCGAGTGATTGCTCATGTGTATTCCACAGTAGGTGTGCGTGCTCGCCACGTGCACCGGTGCCAGAAGTTTTCCCCCAGCAGTACCCGTAGGGGAACACCAATCATCCCCTACCCTGAAAAATAAAGCTTCAAGGAGGCTGGACTCATTTGGAAGGAAAATTTATTCATCCTCGAGCTTCTAGTTATGGGTGGCGAACCACCAGGCTCTCCTGGGTCGGTATGAGTTCAATCTGAGGGGCTCTCTGCCCAAGTTCGAGGACTTCCTCCAGGAGCGCAACAGGAAGGAGTTCAAAGCGCTGGTGGAGGAGGGCACAGCGGCTGCCAGGGCAACTCTGCAGGCAGTTTCGGATGCAGAGGACACGGCCGCGCGGTCCTTGGCCTCCGCGGTGTCCATGTGTCATGGCTCCTGCAATCTGGGCTGTCCAGCAAGGCGCAGACCTCCCTGCAGGAACTCCCATTTGACGGCAAAGCTCTGTTTGCGGAACAAATGGATACAAAGCTGCATGGCCTGAAAGACTCCTGCACGACTCTCCAGACTCTGGGTCTCTATGTTCCGGCTCCGGCTAAACCTAAGTTCAAGCCGCAGCACACTCCTGCTCAGGCTACCCAGTCAAAATACGAGACCGCTTATAAGAAGTCGCTGTATGTGTCTATGGGTGCCACTATAAGAAGCACCCATAGAGGCAGTCTTGGCCTACCCCCCAGCCTGGGTCCTCCAAGGGCAAGCAAGCGGGGAAAAGGCAGTTTTGATGGGACGCCCGGGAGCACCCTGCCAGTTCTCATCAGGGATCCACCCTCAATAAAGCTTCCCTTCTCCAATCGGTTGTGTGGTTTCCTCCTGGAGTGGTTGCGGCTGACCTCGAACCGATGGATCCTCAACACCATCTCCCGGGGCTACACCCTCCAGTTTACTTCCTCCCGGCCTAACCACCCCCAGGCTCCGTCCCTCCTGGGGGACCCCTTGCATGAGGCTCTGCTCGACCAGGAGATGGGGCGGCTCCTGGGCCTAGGAGCGGTGGAAGCAGAACCGGGGGAGTTCAAAGGCAAGAGGTACTCCTCATGCTATTTCCTTATCCCAAAGGCCAAAGGGCGGCTTAGGCCCATCTTGGACCTGCGAGGCCTGAAACAGTACATGGTGAAGCTCAAGTTCCTCATGGTCTCCATGGCCTCCATCATCTCCTCCCTGGATCCCGGGGACTGGTACGCCGCCCTCGATCTGCAGGACAAGTACTTCCACATTAATATATTCGAGGGGCACAGACACTTCCTCCATTTCACGGTGGGGCAGGAACACTGCCAATTTATGGTCCTCCCATTTGGCCTGTCCACTACCCCCAGGATATTCACGAAATGTATGTTGGTGGTGGAGGCCTACCTCAGGTGCCGGGGGGTCCAGATCTTCCCCTATCTGGAGACTGGTTGGTCAAGGGCAGCTCCCGGTTGCAGGTGCAGGATCACGTGGTACTCCTTCTGTCCACGTGCACCACTTTGGGCCTGTTGGTAAACAACACCAAGTCCATGTTAGTCCCGGTACAATGCATAGAATTTATCAGTGTGGTCCTGGACACCTCATCAGCAAAAGCCCCCCTCCCACCAGACAGGTTCGAGACCCTGAAGGGGCTCATCGACACGGTCACAAGGTTTCCGGTGACAACAGCCAGAGCGTGCCTCCAGCTCTTGGGTCACATGTCGGCGTGCATGTATGTGGTCCATCACGCCAGACTCAGGATGAAGCCCCTTCAGCTCTGGTTGGCCTCGGAGTTCTCCCAGGCAAGGGACAGGATGGACAAAGTCCTCACGGTGTCTGAGCCAGTGATCACCTCCCTACGGTGATGGTCCTCCCTGAGAAATGTGCTCTAAGGGGTCCCGTTCAGGGGCAGGTCCCCATCCTGGAACTGGTGTCCGATGCATCTGACCTGGGATGGGGGGCCCATGTGGGGAACGTTCAGACCCAAGGTCTGTGGTTGGCTCAGGATCTGACCCTCCACATAAACGTCAAGGGCAGTATGGCTGGTATGCATGGCCTTCCACTCGCACCTGGAGGGCCGGGTAGTCAGGGTTTTCACAGACAACACGGCCTCAATGTTCTATATCAACAGGCAAGGTGGGGCTCAATTCTCTGCTGTGAAGCCCTCAGGCTGTGGGACTTTTGTATAGCCCACGACATCTGCCTCCAGGCCTTCCATCTGCCGGGTGCCCGGAACGCGTGGGCAGATCGCTTGAACAGGGACTTCTCCTCTCAGCACGAGTGGTCTCTTCACCACGTGCAAGAACTA